GTCAGCAGGACTGTAGAAAACGTTGTGCAGAAAATTAAACTATTTCTATCAGCCAGGTTAAAGCAGCGACAACAACAACAGCTTGCCAGATATTTGGATCAACTCCAATACTTACAAGCTCTTCAAGCATTTATTCCAAGGGATGAGCCTGACAATGCGATGCCCCTGAGACCAAGCAAAGTAGGAACCATTTGGTGCAAAGGCTACAGTCCAGGCCTCACGCCCAGACTTCTGGTCAAAGGGAGCAACAGGGACCAGGAGTTCACCAATGAACTTAGCCTTGTCTGGAAAAAAGAAAACGGGTTTCATTATTGAATATGTTGACAGGCGTGCCAGTCTATAAACAAACAGCCTGAAAGTAACAGCTAAAATGGACAGGGTACACACAAGAAAAGCAGGCTGCCACACCCCTCGTACCTGCCAATCAGGTGAACACTGAGGACATAAATAGAATAGATAGTCAACAACCAGGGGAAGATTTCCAGTGAACTGAAATCAATAGCAAAAACTAAACTGTGGAAAAGAGGCTGACAGTCACCTCTACATTCTGTTCAGCAAGCTATGACCAGCACAGTTCACATATCTGTGTATAGACTCACTAAAACCTACTTTCAACTTTTACTGGCGTGACATTATAAAAAGACAAAAAACAAAAACAAAACAAAACAAAAAGAAAACGCTTTGATTGGCTAAATATACACATGACCCATTTCGGGTAAAAGCCTACTCTTAGTGGTGGACAAATGTTAACATTGTGAGGGATTCCCTATCAGAACAGAGTATCTGATCCCTGTGCTGGGCCAGTCTGCTGTGTGAGCGCAGTGTTTGCACGGCTACGTGTTCAGCACTAAATGCAACATGGAGGCCGCGGCTGGGTGTGAGCGGTGTGGAGCCAACGCGATCCTCATTTAAGATCCAATAAAAAATAAATAAACAGAACGTCCCTTTCGCAATGCTTTCAATGTTTTGTTTCCTTCACATTAAGGAGGTGTAGACAAATACACAGAAACGGCTGACGTCACAAACCACACATATGTAATCTCAAATTTATTAAGTGTTTTGCAAAGAGATTACAGTATGTCTGAGTGATTTCCGTCAGAGCACATTGCGTAAAACACTGAAACCCGGACATTTTCCAACCGTCATGTTCGACGAGCATTGTGAGGACAGGCCAAGGCCATGAATCACTGTGGCAGTGGCTCGATACACAAACTCGGCAGGCCTTTACACACCGATGTAAACATAACATTTGGGGGTTGGCAGAGGTTTGAAAACCCCAAAAACTCACGAGATATTTATGTCACATTCCAGTCCAAACTGACACTGTCCACCCGCACAACAAGAGCAATGAGCAATGCGAACATTATTTAAGAAGCTACAACTTCACTAAACATTTTATCATACGTCGACATGTTCATTAAGCCTTTCACAGAATATATTAATCAAAAAATAAACTAACCCTGGAACAGTTCCGCGTTTTCATAAGCGCTTCTGCTCAACACTGTCCTGAGTTAAATAGAGCCAAAAACTACTTACCTAGATCATTTTCATTTACACAATCTGGGAAGCTGGCCATCTAAATAAGGGCACCGACCGAAGGGAAAAAAGCTGAACAAGAAACACTAAAACAAACTTTATAAAGAAAAAATATAAAAATAAAACTGGTACAAATGATGAACAACGCCTTTCTCCACGGTCACAAGTAAACTGAATCCTTCCGCCAAAGGAGCGCGTTGGGCGGATGAATATAGTCCTCAGCTAAAAAAAAACAGTCCCCTTTAAAGCTGACGAAGAAATTTATTTTGACAGAAAATAAGACGTGGACGTCTTCACTCACAACAAGATTAATTATGTCCAACGATTAAAGAACGTAGCTGCTGTTTCATTCTAGAATGACTAAACTGGAAATGGCACTTTATTTATTTGACGGGCTGGCTATGAATGTGCAGGGAGGGAGGATTTTTACGTCACCGCGGTTGCTATAGTGGCACTAATAGCACCTCCCCTTTTTTCTATAACTTTATTTCACCGTTTGATTTGGTTACAAATTGTAGCGACAATAAGATAGACGACAGCTGCAAAATAAGAATGTATAAAGCATTAACATGTGCAACACTTGTGAAAAAAGTGTTGCACATGTGGGAGAAACATCAAAACAAGAGAAAATTCAGTTTTCTTTATAATGCCTGACGTATCATATGTGAGACATGAGCGCATGAATTTTCAGCCAGTTATTTCATGGTGTGGGCCACAAAGGGTTTTAGGTTGTTACATAAATAGCTAAAGCACAGAAAGAGACAGCAAAAGCATAAATAAGTCCAGATTCTAACAAAAATACATACATACATACATACATACATACATACATACATACATACACACACACACCCACACCCACACCCCACACACACACACACACACACACACACACACACACCCACACACACACACACCCACCCACCCACACACACACACACACACACACACACACACATATATATATATATATATATATATATATATATATATATATATATATATATATATATATATTTTACAACAGAAATTGTAAAAGTCTGATGATTCTTGAATGCAGTGAGTCAAGTTGGACTTTTTAACAGAATCAGCCTGTCTATTCAGGGTGGTAAGAACACCCTCAATTCAAACTGAGTGAGTCAACAACACAAACATTCCTCAATGAGTTATTCATGAACACCCAGACAAACCACATTCCAACATTACATTCACAAGAATAAACATGTTGTCCTTCTCACATGCTCTCACTCTCTTTTTTTTTAATACTCATATACTCACTCATAGAGGCTACAGAGAGGAAAACGGGGGATTACAATGAGCAGGGCTAAGATATTCATTAGCAGGGTTCAAAGCATCAGAGATCAACCCACAGCCAGGTGAGTCTGTGTTAGAATATGATGTGTCCTCTGTCACATCATATTCCATTCATCCATTTTCTGTATTGTGTATACTCTTGTCCGTGGTGGGATCGGGAGGGGTCTGGTGCCTATCTTGGTGGGGTAGACCCTGGACAGGTCGCCAGTCTGTCTGTTGCAGGGCAACACAGAGACAGACAGGAAAAACAACCATACACACACTGACACCGAGGGAGAATTTAGAGAGACCAATTAATCTGACAATCATGTTTTTGGACTGTGGAAGGAAGCCGGAGTACCCGGAGAGATCCCACGCATGCACAAGGAGAACAAACAAACTCCGTGCAGACAGAAAGACAGAGAATCGAACCCAGGACCTTCTTGCAACAGTGCTACCAGCTGCACCACTGTGCAACCCCATCACATCATACTTAGAAAACTAAATTATAGAAACTTTGAAAAAAGAACCTTTGTTGAACCATGCAGGCAGCCTTGTCAAATTCTTAGCTAGAGATTAGCTAGGAGGTTAAGAAGGAGAGGGGGCTGTAGGAGAAATCTGGATTGTAGGTTTGGTTCAATCCGTCAGCAGAGAAGAACTCTCCTATGGATAGGTGTTATAGTTTCATATAGATTTCAGATAAAATTCATATAACTGTTCATTACAGCAGACATGTTATGTCTGTTTTCTTTCTGCATAGCCATACTGTTCTCCTCATTTTAGTCCAATTATTGTAAATACTGTAACAGAGGAATTTTCCATTCAACATGCAGCAAATGAACTGAGGATGAGAGTTGAATTCAAAACAGCTGAGTCAAAGTCTGTGATAGGGGCTCCCGCTCTAGGTTACATACCTCGTTACGTAATTAAGGGAGTTATGCAACTCCCCTAATCTGACTTTTTTAGTATTATTGATCCAAATTCTGAATGCAATATTTTTAGAATTGTCACTTTAACTTAAATATTGGCACTGTAACTTTGATCTATGCTGCTGTTTTCCTGCAGGATCAATTTTTTTTATTCATTTATTAAAAAGAAAAAGCAGGTACTTGTATCACAGCAAGTGAACAGTGAAGAGCTGCATGGGGCATCAATGTGGTAAGATTATAGAGAGGGCATAGCATTTATTGTTGAACATTTATTAATAGTAAGTGATAAAATAGTAAATGATGATTTAGAAATTAATGTTAACTGTTGGCAATCTTTTTTTTTAAATGGTTTCCTTCATGTTTTTTTCTATTTTTGGAATTCTAATTACTTTAGGCTGAACCGATGACGATTCAGTGCGTTATTCAGTATACATTATCTGCATTGAAATACAAACCAAGAGTTTGTGTTGGATATAATTCAGGCCATTTCCAGAAAAAAGGAGAAAAGAGAAACAGAAAATTGCTGCATGTTTTGGTGTAAGTGGAGACAAGCCCCCCCACGACCCTGTAAAGATGCAGACAATGGATTGATGGATGGAAACAAGCTGGCAGATAAATTAACAAAGGGAGCAGCGAGAAGAAACAATACAAGTGTCACTAAAATTAAAGATGAAATGGCAATAAAATGTGGTAGAAAATGGAGGGGAAGACATTTTATTAGAACACAGAGGAAGGTTGTAGAATTAACAAGCAGCTGGGGTTGAAAGCTGAAAAGATTCCCTGTCAATACTGAGATTTGTATATAAAGGGTTAAATAGTGATAAAAAGATGAAGGGAGTTAAAACTAATGTTGACAGGTCGAAACAGTAGGAGATGTATTTTAGATTATTAAATATCAGTGGGAAAAGCAAATCCACTAAAATGATTTATGAAGGAACACGGTTCTGTTTATGACTCTTGAATAAAAAAACTGATGATTCTGTTTCTAAAGCTGACTTTTGATGGGATACTTTAAATGTTTTAGGATTAAAATCCTAAAATTTTGGGTTGTGACTCTCAAAACCAAAACATCTAAACGCTGCTTAGTAAAGTGCCTGAAGGGAAAAAACTGAGTCTTTCGTCTGGGCCTAATAGGGGAAGAAGAACTCTACATTCCAGTCTGTGACACGCAGATGTGCTCTGTGTAATTCTACTGAAGGCCCAACAGATGGCGCAGGTTGCCCTCCTCCATTCTGTCTCGCTTGTATGAGAGGCGGACAGGGAGCTGGCAGTTCTTACATTCTGTGGTTTATGTTCCAAACGAACCGAGCTGCGCCCATAGGCAAGGCACCAGCCCTGTTTGGAGAACAGTGAGTATTTCTTGCTATTGCTGTTTATGTGCTAGAAGTGAGGGGACCCAGATAGTGTGAAAGAAGCCGTGCTGAGGCCGCTCTAGAATGAAACATTTTCACACTATCCCGGTGTTTTGTTCCAGTGTCGCCTTGTGAAAAATGAGGGCAAACAACTAATGCTGTGACCTGAGCCAATTATGCTAGTTAGCTAGCTGGACTGCGTAAAGTAAAGTAAAATAAAGCCTAACCCCTGCGTGGATTTGCGCCAGTAGTGTTTCTCGTACCGAGTGGAATAACAGTCCTATTTGTTGTTAGAAAACCGAGACAAGCAAATCAAACAGCAGCTTAGCTTGCTAATGTAGCTCCACCTATTTTAGCCCTGTCATGCTTTTGTCCCCTCTAGTTCAGGTTTTATCCTCAGCTTCTGAACATGTTTAGTCACATAGGAGGGTGTTTGAAACATCCCCCAGTCGGCCCGACGTTGAAACATGGCGGTAATGTTCCAGCTGCTCTCTGTCAGTGTCAACACTTCTCCCTGAGATGACTGACTGGAAAAGGCCTGGTCAGGAACATCATTGAGCGAGAAATGCTTTTTGTCACTCATTGGAATTGGTTGTACCAGATCAATATAGCATTTCTCCAGTCTCCTTAGCTTGTTCACCATTGTTTTTATGGGTCTGCGACATGAGAACTTCCTTCATCATTAAGCGGAGAACTCTGAGGTCGATCCATCAAACCTAAAAGTGTCTTACTAAGTGGAAAATCTGGAAAATCACAATGAGAACATCTGAACAAGTTAAAGATCAACTTGGCGTGGCTCAAGACTTTTGGGCTTGAGGAGAATCCTATTCTCTGGTTCAGTAAAATCAGCTGCTGCGTATCTGTTCAAACAGTTGATGATGTTAATGAGCAGCTAAAAATAAAATTAGAAATACTTGTTTTGCTTTTTATTCTGATAATCCTTGAGTGTTAACAAGACAAAATGCAAACAAATGCTATAACAACTATGGAGGTAGAGCTAGAAGCTTCTATTGTCTGAATTATTTTCTAAAAGCTGGATGAAGATTTTCCATCAAGCTCTCCTGTTCAAGAGAACTTCAGGTTACTCGTAACTGGGTCTCCCAAGGATATACACTGCTATTACACACTGATGTGCTTTAATGAAAACAGTCATCTCAGCAGAGTCAAACTCACTCTACAATTAGACAGACAAGCAGATGCAGCAACCTGAGTTCGACTGGGTACAGCATTCGAACATGGGGAACAACAAGCAAAGAGAAAATGTTGGGAACCACAGCTGAGACTGAAAACCTCTTTGTGTTATCACACAGTGACTTAATATATCTATAGCTGTAGAAAATGACTGTTTCCAGGAGCTTCCTACCCACTTCTGTGCTTCCTTTAACACCTGAGAGATAAAAAAAAAAAAGACTCAACTTCAGTAACACTGGTCAACAGCCAAAAAGGTGTCTTTTGGTTTTCAACAGTTTTCAGGTCACTTTGATGTGCTAAATCCAAAAATCACTTTGGTTTTGTTGAGTCAGGTCAACTTTCTGCACTATGGAGCAACATGAGCATCAAAATGCATGACTTGTTTTCTCCTATCTGGATCAGTTTCCTGACAATCTGAGAGTGATGAGGAGGAGAGATTCCACCGGGACAGGAAAGAGACGGAGGTGTAATGTTCAATTCACATGTATCAGTGTTTATTATTCAATTTACAGAAATCCAAGTTTGTAACATTTAATTAATACACTCTGGTAGAAAACTTTTTTTCCTCCTATATCTTTTTTTGGATGAGAAATGTAAACGGAAATGAACTGATAATGTCACAAAAAATTTAATCAATTTAGTCAGAAGATTTGATTTCTCTAAATCAAATTAGAATAAAAACCTGACCTGATTGAGAAAAATGAATGTCATTTTTTGATTCAATGGTGTAAAATAGTCCTAATTCAATTAATTTTTTTTTGACAACTTATAAAAAATATTTCTTGTAAGCCAGTGTAATTGACTGAAACTGTTGCCTCTCAAACAGTTCCTGATGCCTGTTTCTTATTGGTCTTTTACACAGAGCTAAATATTAAACAGTGTTGATTACAAGTTAATGAAATTATTCAATTGGCTGACCACAACTTTCTGTAGAAAAGTTGTCATCAGTTTACCCAACATGTTTTGAGTTTTTATCATGTGGTTAGTCATTTTCATTTCACTATTAAGTTTTAAATAAGAATGATCTCAGTGTACACAGCCATTGTTTTCCCTTAACATTTAAAATACTACATAAAGTAATCTTTCCATTAAGGATACAATGTTACAATTTATTATCAGTTCAAAAACATTTAACTTACTCCAAAGCGAAATTAAATGTTATTGTAACTCCTACCATCCAAGTGACTTCAAAGAGTTGTAGTGAATGGTGATCTCAATATCCAGACAACAGAGTCCATATTTCTCTGTAACATGTCCTGGATGACACTGCTGATCCACCTCTTGAGTTTGCTGTCTGGCCATATGGGTGCAGAAATGTTGAATCTGATCCTTGTTCATCACAATGAATGAAGGAGATGATGTGAATGTCCTCTCTCTGCTCTTGGGTCTGCATCCGGGAAGTCTACATTTCCACTCCTCTAGGATTTGAAGTTTCAGTTCAAGTATTATCTGAGATTTTCAGATGGTAATCAGCTGCGCCCAGTTGTAAAAGATACTGTTGCCAAAGTTGCACATCATGACAACAGTCCTAAAGCCTCGACCAAAAATAATGAACAACTGTCTATGAAAAGAACATTTCAGAACTAAGATAGCAGAGCTTCTCCGACACGCCAATATGGTGAGCGGTGCTATTCTGGAACGATTTGAGTCACCAGGCAACTGTTCCGAACAAACAGCCTTTTATATAACCTGTGCTCATGCAAAACCTTTATGGCTGGAATCAAAGTGCAGAATCCTGCTATTTGCCACACAACCTTGAAAAGCTCCACCAAAGCAAAGCAGGAAAGACTCGATCACCATCATTAACTTGTGTTGTTTGGGAACGTAAATGATTCTCATTCAGCTGAGGTGATGCCGCAGTGAGAAAGGTGGAGCCAACCTAAGCTTTATGGCAACACATTGGTTCAAGAGCTTGTGGTGTTATTGCCTTGTCGGCTGAAAGAGGAACAGCTTTTCCTGTTCTTTCTCATTCTCTTTAGAAAGTTTTTGCCTGTTAAAGCTATTTAGTATTCTCAGTTTTTATAGTCTACCCTAACTAACTTTTATAGTTAGTCTCCCATTGTCAACCCTTATAATTGGATTACTTCAGATATAAGGACTGTGGGAGTTTTACTTTCTACTTTTTTCTATTTTTCTATTTCCATGCTGAACAAGGTGCCAAGGTGTCTTCAGTTGACATAGAGAATAATGACAAAATTCTACAGACTACATATGACTTGAGGATTTTGCAACGGCAGGTCATTATGGAGATCAACACACATTGAATTTAAATACTCACCTGGAAGGACATCAAGCAAAATTTAAGCATCTCATGTCTATCATGTAAAATAAGATAAAGTGCAAAAAAAGTTGCATGTAGCATAAAAACAAACACAAAAAAAATCCTTCTGACTGTTTCCTACCAGCTGCGTCTCCACAGTGCATTCAAGTCCATTTGACACTCAGTTGTGTAATCGAAACATCTCCAAAATGATTTAAATATTTCTTATCAATGTCATCCAAAATTTACTTAAACAATCCTAAGTAACTGCACCAATCTGTTTCATGTGTAAAAGAAATTGATTACATAACAAAACCAGAACTTTTAGTTCTATAATACTTTGTGAAAGGCTGTGAAATCAAACTGTTTTCAGAAAATGTGAACATTTCAGGGTGCTGCGGTGGCACAGGGGTTAAACACAACCCACATGAGAAGGTCTTAGTCCTCGACACCGCTGTCACAGGTCCAACCTGGTGACCTTTACTGCACACCTTTCCTCTCTCTTTTTACCTGCTTTCCTGTCTTAGTACTTTCAAATAAAGCCCACAAGAGCAAAAAAAAGAAAAGAAAAGAAAATGTGAACATTTTGATTCAAGTAAAAAGCATATTTCTACATTTTTGTTTCTCTTGATTGAAACTTGCCAAAATGTGACATTAAATCCCAGCTGTGTAGAGAATTGTGGTTTTATTTTTAGTACCATTACACATTTCTACACATATTTAAACACAATAAAGGATGCTCAATATTTAATGAGTGAATGAATTCATTTGTTGTCAGTGTTGTTTTATAGTAGTTTCTAACAGTTTTCTCCTGTCTTCCAGGGGATTTTTTTTTTCTTTAGGAAACAAGACTTCTGACTCATGACTAATCCTGTGTAGGGAGATTTGGACAGTTACCATGTTTAATTTGATAAAGAAAGACAAGGAGAAGGAAGGGGGCAGGAAAGAGAAGAAAGAGAAGAAGGAGAGAATGTCTGCGGCAGAGCTGCGCAGCCTGGAGGAGATGAGCATGAGGCGGGGTTTTTTCAATCTTAAGAGGGAGGCTAAGCGGGAATCCAAGAACAAAGTGGAGATCTCCAATCCCATTCCTATCAAAGTGGCCAGCACCAATGAGCTGTCCCTCACCGACATTGAGTCGGATGAGTTCAGCAACCGAAGCAGCATGGTCTTGGATGATCAGATCAGTGTGGCCAGCTCCACTGATGACTTGAAAGGAGAGGGAGGAGGTCAGGATGGACATCGCAGCTCTGTTCGGGACCGTGTGGCTCACTTCGGTTCTCTTGCCAAGCAGAACTCCTCACAGATGGGGCAGATGATGAAACGTTTCTCCTTCTCCCAGAGGAGCAAGGAGGAGAGCCCGTCAGAGGGCTCCACTCCTTCTGGACAGAACTCTGCTGCTCCATCACCGCAGGTCGAGAGCAAAGTGTTCAACATGCTTCGCAAGCACAGCCATAGAGTTCAACCAGAGGCGGCAGACACTAAAAAAGTTTTCATCCCTGAACTGGTTGATAAGATTTTTCCTGCACCCTTGCCGCTACCTACTGTGGTTGCACCAAGTGCCCCTGAAACGCGGGAGCTGGAGCTTCAGAGGCGCAACACTGGTGACTTTGGGTTCTCTTTGCGCCGAACCACTATGCTAGATCGCAGCCCTGATGGAGGGGTCTACAGACGAGTGGTCCACTTCGCCGAGCCTGGTGCTGGTACTAAGGACTTGGCGCTCGGACTTGTGCCTGGCGACAGGCTGGTGGAGATAAATGGACGGAATGTGGAGAGCAAGAGCCGTGACGAGATAGTTGAGATGATCCGTCAGTCCGGAGACACAGTGAGGCTGAAGGTCCAACCCATCCTGGAGCTGAGCGAGTTGAGCCGCTGCTGGCTGAGGAACATCGAGGGGCTTCGCAGAGAGGCCCGACACGTAAGCAGCTTTCTTCTACTTCATCTAGAGAGAAACTTGACTGGTTACAAGTGGTTACAATATGATATTATATTATGAAGCATTCGACCATGTTGAGACATCATGCATCACCTTTTAGGTCCATTCTATGCACTGTAGTTCTATTCTCCTGCCCAGAACTCCTGCTAAGGGAAGGAATAGATTTAGCTTTCAATGAATAGCAAGATGGTGTTAAATTATTAATATAATTAATATTCCTGTTTAAAAATACAGGTACTATTTAAGCATGTTAGTTACTTGCTTTTAAAAAACAAACATTTGGGTTATTCATTGTGGAGAAAAAAAGATTTAACATAAAAGTATTCCTCAAACTATTAATGCAAAAAACTAAGATTAGCTTTCATTGCCGATCTTTACATGTTTTAAAATTGTGTGTTGACCACAGCTTTGAGAGCCACAACATTGGGTCTTAAGAGCTGCAGACCCATTAGAGCATTCTTTAGTGGTGCACCGATAAATTAACCAGCTGAAAAATAGGCTCCAATTTTCTTAACTTTAGCAGATCAGCTGATGCGTATATGTGAAATCGATCTTGTCCACTGATATTATCTACCTCGGAAAAGGTCTAAAAATCAACCTCTGAACTCTTCTGCTCTGCTAAGAGAGAAGTTTGACAGACCGTCTGCATGTTTGCATTTATTTAATAGTCACTCACGCCAACTAGGCAACATTCTTTCTATATTTAGCAAAATTTCAGACAAAAAAAAAAAAAATCACTATTAGCCAAAATCTGAATTGGCATTACAGGCTTTCTAAAAATTTATCATTGGCAATTGGCCAGAAAATTGCAATCGGTGCACCTCTATAATGACAACCCTAAACATTAGCCCTTCTTCATTCTTTATGTTTGGAAGTTATGTTCTTTAGTCATGTAAAAATGGCTTTGTTCAAAGAAAATGTGTTGATGCAAAAAAAATCCTGTTTTGTTGTGGTGCTTACACACTTTGAGCTTTATTATGTAGTTCTATATATGAATGAATGGTTAATTAATGTTAAAAGTGTGACTTGCTAGCTTTCTGGGCTGTTTGTATAAGTGTATGTGTGCTGAACAGAACGGTGCACCCTAGAAAACAGCCCCCTATTTTTTTTTTCTCGTGAGATTTTGTGTTCTCTCACAGTTCATGTGGCATCAAGAATACTGAAAATCTTTCTGCTACAATGTAAGTTTTTTTCCATGTATGTTAATATCTCATTAGTAATATCTCATTAGAGAAATATCTGAAGTTTAGTATTGTTTTTTAGGATACAAATGCACACAAACCTATGTGGTATTTTGTTTTTTCAAATTAAACAAAAATCAAAATCTATTTTACACATCTACCTAAGAGTAATTTGTCTTTTCTGTCTTAGTTTATTTATTTTCAAATCTCTCTGTGTCTGATGGGGTTTCTGATGACACAGCCTTTCCTGGCAGTGATGACCTCAAAGACAGTTGGGTTAGGTTCTGGTTGGGTCTCAGACGATGAAGTGGTTTCAGCAAATGTGTTCCAGTAGATTCTCCAAAGCATCAAAGTCAGTTACCACAGGGGTGTGGTGAAGATATTTGACATTTGTGATCACTTTGATCCATCTTCTGACCAGTGCTGGTGCTGACCAGTTCAAAGGCATTATTGGCAGTGTTTCTCAATATCACATAGCAAATATCTTTGAATGTGGTGCTCAGCTTTCCATTCTCCATACTAGCAATGCAAACTTCATCACCAGCCCTAAAGTTATGATCTTTTGCTCGATTGGTCTGGTCAGCATGCTCCTTCATTTTGGTTTTGTATTTAATGTGATGGTCTTGTTTTATTCTTGCCATTTGGAAGTCCATATTTCTTCTCCATGTTCGGACACTTTGTGCAGATATCTCGTTCAAACATGAGCATGGCTCCTGACACTGTGAAAGGTAAGCCATCAGTATTTTTTGAAGTTCCTCCTGCCATTTCTTGGATGTTCTGAAGTATCTGTGAAACCTCAATTTTTCCATTGCTTTTTGGATAATACAGTGATACTCTGATGGAATTTCCTGTCACCCCCAAATGTCTTTAGTTGTTTCTTTATGTTGAGGACATGTCCTCAAGGTTCATGACTTGTACTTCATGCATTGTCACTGCCAGCACTCTGTCCACTAATTTCCATTTACTCACTGTTCTCCGTCTCTGGTAAAGAAAGTTGTGAAAGTGAGTCTGCTACATTGGACTTTACAACTATGTGCTGTATCTTCTAATCATAAGGTTGAAGTCTCAAACCAAGTCTCTGTATTCATGGTGGTGACAGTGTAACCTTCTGTATTTGAGGAGTTTCTGGTCAGTTTGCAGAGTAAGCTTGCCCTCCCACAAAATGATCCTAAAATGTTCCACAGCCCATACTCATCCTGAAGCCTTATGTTCTGACAATATTGATGTTATGCCAATGAACGGCTTGCATAAGCAGCTGGTTTCTTCTGTTTATCTGATTGGGCCTGTAGCAAAACTGCTCCTAATCCTGCTGGACCAGCATCACTAATGACAACAGTTGATGCATCCAGTTTAAAGTAGGCCAGGCATGGCTCACTCACCAATGCTTGTTTAGTTACTTGAAACGATAATTCTGTTTCACTCGTCCACAAACAAGGAACGTACAAGCAAGGCTATCAATGGTTCTGATAAGTTTGCATAGTTTTGTGCAAATTTCAGGTCTGGGCCCTTTGTAGATGGTTTTGTCCTTTCTCTGGTCTGGTTTAATTCTTATGTCTGTGATTACATGTATGAGTGTCTCAATCTGTTGCATTCCAAAGATGCGCTTGTCTTTAAGGGTTAAACCTCTGTTTTCAAATCTCTGAAAGACTTTTTGAAGTGGCAGCACCCTCTTTGTGTGATGAATGTCATCTGGGATCTTAATTCTGTGGATAAATTGCTCTTCCTAAAGCCCTTCTGTGCATCTTTTAGCAAACAATTCTGCTCCCTGCACTGCCAGTAAGATGCCATACTGTTGGTACTAGGTGTCTTTCTCTGATCACTGCTGTATTCACAGGTCTCCCCATGGCCTCACTTTGTTTGCATCTTTCTTGGATGTGAAAATCCTGATCTTGCATTTACTTCTTCTATTATACTTGGTTCAAGTGTCTTAGCTAGCTCCTCATTTCTAACATGGGATGAGCCAGCCTCCTTAAACCCTGTGCTACAGGCTGGAGTTTTTAATCGACTGTAACCTTGTGGTTGTAACCTTTAATCTCTCCAAGACGTTTGATAACTGTGAGTACTCTTTAACTAGCTTGTCAAAACTGACTGTTTTCCCTATTGTGTTCACTTTTTCTCCTGTATTAAGTATATTTTATGAAAAGCTTGTTTTTCTGCCAACCAGTGCTTCTACATTTCCTTCCATCACACATATATGTTGTCTTTAACTACTTTTTCTTTCCACCTCATTTCATCCTCAGTCATCTACACGTCTAAGTAGAGTAATTTGTGTCTCATACTGTCACAACGTAGTGACAGTATTAACAAATATCTAAAAAAACTTGAAAATAAAAAAAAGTTATGTATTGCAGCTTTACCAGTTGGTCCATGAGCAGATTACCTGAGTTAACTCTTAAAGTTGTATATTTTAGGAGCCATGATTGTCTTCTCACCTGTATGGGTATTTTTCCTATGATCATCCTGTCTGTTCAAATGGGACGGACTTGATCCAATCATGGATGTCACGCTGAGAACAAAAAACCCTTAATGCAGATTAACTTACATGCTTTGAGTAGATAAATATTTTCCAGGAGAATGGTGTTTATTTTTTGTCATGATTTCAAGCAGATTATTTGAAATTTTACTGACTGAATCAGCATATGCTAAAGCACTTTAGCCCCCTGTTCTGTCCAGGATTACTGTGCAATCCATATTGTGCTCTTGGTGCATTGATACACTGAGCATGTATTTGTTCCCTGTGTTTGTTCTATGGAAATATTCCACTCTGTCTGAGGACAAGACTCGCTTTGTGTCATATGAGGCTCAGCTCTAATGATTTCCACACAGCATACTGAGAACTACTTTGTTGTTTGTTGTGATCAAATGAGAGCTGTGCCATTACCATTTCTTTACGTTCTTTATTTAACAACGTGATAAAATGTTCAGATTTTTTTATTACCAGAAATTCTGTTTCTGTTGAGTGTGTGAGGAATTATAAGTTACTACTAAACTTGAGACAAAATCACTCCAGGATAATGAGACTGATTCAAACAGGATACAATCTCAGAGTCCTGGAACACAAAACATTTGGATAAAGCAGGTTTTACATAGTTTTTTGCCCTGCATATGTAAAAAACAATAAATTCCTTTTTATAACAAATGGCATTAGAATACAGATTTTAAATAAAGAGAAGCTAACGGTAATGATTCAGTCTTGAAAAGGTGCATAAAAACACCCTATATAAGAAAACATTTTTTTCCATGTGGAAGAAAAGAAAAATCTAATATTGACCTGACAGCTCCTTGGTGAAAACTTTTGCAGTGACATCAAAGTATTATTTTTCTGTAATGAAATGAATTTCAACACACCAGCCTTTTGCCTGATCACTGTAAACGTCCAGCAGGATGGTGTCTGTCCACACAGACATGAATTTGGCCCACAAACAGGATCCTGCTATTCTTCTCAGCAGCGACGTGTTTGCACAGGATATTCCTAACAAAGCATTAAAACCTGACTGAACAATAAGACAATCAGAGGCTTATTATTAGCTCAAGCTGGGCTACACTAAAGCTTTTTCCTGGCCACAGGGTTTATTAAAGACATTAAGTTGATTGAAACAGTTTGTTTTGTCTTTTTCTCATGGATTTAAGTTGAACTGAATCAGTTCCTATGAGTTTAAGTGTTTAGGTGTCGGAATTGAGGTGTAGATTACAAAGTAGGCAGCATATTACCACAAATCTGTGCTTTTTGTAATATAACATTAGACATTTTGTTTTAAGCTACTTTGAGCTGAAAATAATTCCTTTATTGAGCTCTTAAGGCTTGACAGTAATTCTCCCAGTATTGTGGACTTGTAAAACAAAACAAACTTTTTATTTTTTGAGCACTTGATTTATGAAGATTTTCAAGTGAATTTACACCAAAAGACTCAAAAACAATAAGCACCTGAGACTGAGGCAACAGTTTGACAAACTCAAACAAAAAAAATTCCAATATTATACAAGCAAATAAATGATAAAATGATAGTAAAATAACTAATGAATACGTAGAATAAAAACCGGAGCCGAGTTCACAACAGTGTTCTTTGCAGCCCATCTTATCTGGAAGACACTTAAGTTAGGTGGTTGAGTAAAGGGAGCATGGTTGCTCTTTTACATGTTCCAACACTGGATTCCATAGCCTAGAAAACTCGTGTCTCAGTCTTTCCACATGTAGGCTACTTACAAGTTCAGTTAGCCAGGTTTCAAACTTCCTGAGGAAGAGAGGTTGCTTGAAACTGAAAATGAATGATCAACAGTTTATGGAGTACTATGTTGCATATGGTAAAATGAGAGAATAATGGAGGAGAAGCAATCATTAATTCTGCTTTATTTTCAGCAGAAGTATGTTTTATTATATTACTCCTATAATAATGCATTTAAAGCACATTTCTCTTCCCTTTTGACTGTTAAACATGCCATAGTCCTGCATTGTACCATAGTACCACTGTCACACACCATCAGCCTATCCTGATGTTCATGTACATACAGGGTGTGTGGGTCCCTACATCTTTTATTTAGCTATTGATCAAAATTTGTATTGAAGCAGTTTTTAAGTTAAAGTCAAATTCCACAAGTTACATTTGTCATGAATGAAAATGAGTGTCTTTCTTTGCTGCTTGGAGTTTAAATTGCTGTCACTCCCTCTGTTACACACAAGATGAGCCTGATCAGGGTCTTGCATAGGAGGGTCTTTTGCTTCTTAATTATGTGAAACTTGCAGCAGGAATAAAACTAGAAGAGATATCAAAAGTCTTGTTTACTTGACTTAACAGGTTTAAAGGAAGCTGCTGGAGAGCAGTCCCCTCCTTTTGCATTGCTTTCTGGTATTTGTGGAATCTGCTCTGGAACAAATAGGCCACTTCCTGACCCCGTCCATCTAACATTTTCTTCTGAGGGAAGTGTAATGAAGTTCTGTGGATGCAGGAAATGGAGGAGGGGAAACAGCTTAATGTGTGGGAATGTGGTTTACTAAAAGAATAATTTTGTTTTCTATGCAGTATACATTTGTCTCCAGAACTAATGTCTATCTTCAAGATTCACTGGACTTTTTAGGCTTTTTATCAATAAAAGGGAGTTTTATATTGACTAAAACTGAATCAGAACCAAAGTTAGCCTCGTTATAACTATTCAGTCAAAAGTCACGAAAGGATTACATGTTAAATTGCTACTTTGGATTTTGGGTCTAGGTGGCTGAGCTGGGCTTGGGAATAATTCAAGGATTTTTTTATTGTCATATTAGATTTGGTTGTTTGTACGAAAACTATGTATGAACTATGGATATCCATAGTTTGACTTGAAGTCAATGGGATTAAGTCAGTTCATCCCATTGACTTGAAGTTTAGCATCCCACCTAATGTAGCAATGCCACACAGGATTTGAGACATTGCTCGTGAATTTGGTGTAAGGTCCAGTCATAAAAACCATTCTTAGAGAATATGTAAATTCCCTAATATGTTCCCTAATATACCTTTGGGACAGAAATACTCTTAGACATTGCTGATATCTTTCCTCGGTGATAAGTTGATACACAGCCATGCACACTGTCAAAACTCCCAATCTAGTTGGTCCCTGTTGTCAGGTCTCTTTGATTAGCTGCATTTGGGAGAAACAGTCTCTGAGACTGACCATTCTAAGTAGTGTGAAGCTTATGCTGTTACATTAAGAGGATCTTTGGCATCTGATACTTCTAATTTATGATACAAGAGGGTTAACCCAACCTCAATAGGCTTTTAATCCTAATTCCTTCTTAAATGGTTTTTGCTGCCTTCCTATCCTCTTAAGGCGCTTTTCCACTGTCAGGTCACACTCTAACTAGTTAATGTGCTGTTCAGTTTTACCACAGGGTTAGGGTGAGCTTCTCCATTATATGCTCTGTTCCTCACTATTGTGGGCAGGACATGAGCGCGCAGCGACTGTGGTCAACTCTCTCCTCATGTTTCGTTGCTTTGTACATGTGACAGTGCAATGACAATAAAGTTGAATTCTATTCTATTCTATTAACACTCAGCAATGGAGATCCTGAAAGTTGTGGTTCTGATGGACTGTAACTCAGATATTTCAAATCTGAGAACAGCCAGGCAAAGCTGTATGTGCTTCTTCTCTGTCATCCCATATAATACAGTGATTAGGGAGCCTTCTCCTGTTGGAGCGAGAACAAATGGTAGTCACTAATCTTTTAAATGGATGTTTGTGGCTATTTGTCCACATTTGTGCATGGCTAGTTGTCCACTAATTCATCTCCCAAACTGTAAATGGGTCAGTTAATATTGACTACTCAAAGTGCTGTTACATACAGTGCATATTGACCCAACCAACTAACACATTCATGCAGCCATGTGCAAATCAGTTCGCAAATTGGGGTGAAGTTTCTTATGATCAGTATTTGCTGATTCGAAGTTTGGAAACTTGGGATCTCTTTGAGTCACAACTGCCTCAGAAGGAAAGTCAGTAAAGAGTAACTGATAAACGGTGGGACGAGGCATTTGTAGCTTCTCATGTTTTAGTAAGGCAGATTACTACTAGTAAGCCTTTAGGACACATACACAAGGTTGATTGACTGCTCTAAGGCACACCTCCTGGCTGTGATTGGTAGTTTTGACCAGGATTGGTGCATTAATTCAGATGACAATAACACCTCAGGGAGGAGGTGGAAGAGCTCAATCTTTTCACAGATTATCTGTGTTATATCATACTGTCAAGTTTGAACAGATATGTAAAAAACTATTTTTTGTCACGTTGAAATCACTGAAAAGCTCTTCATTTAGCCTCCTGTAAATTGTCCATTCACCATCTGCTGCTCCGTGTTGGGTCTTTTTTCTTAGGAGTAGAAATAGTTTAATATCTAGAATCTCCTTGATGATTATACACACGCTCTATCCAGGTGCATTGGAATTATTGTGCAGAACTTACAGTCGAGTCACCAAACTACCAAAAAGAAATAAAAACCATCAATGAATCCAGACTAGTTGTGATGTCTAGATTCAGAATGTGAGAATCCACAAAAGCGGATTTTCATCATGTACTTTCTGTTACAACTTTCTCAGTAAAAATATGTGCATATTTTCGGACATGAACCCACTTCTAGTAGGATTAGCGTTGAACTGCCTGAGGTAAAGGCTGCTTTGCTCTTCTCCTTTGAACTCCACCCTTCCTGTACTCTGCTTCGTGTTGCAGTTCTGAGTGGCTGGAGTTTTTGGGCCCAGCTGCATTAATTAGTCACTCTCTCTGTTGGGTTGTGATTTCCCTTAATTATCATGGCAATGACTATGAAGCTGATCAAAACTTAAGGTGATTGCAAATACTTAAAGCCATAGAAGCCTCATTGGATGTCCTTCTGCTGCCATCTTGTGGCAGAAGTGTTCATGAATGGAGAATGCTGCCTTAAATCTGCAATATGTAATGGTTTTATATGAGATATGTTTTTACATATTTGTTAAAACTATCACAATATAATAACGATATAGTATGAGACAGATTAAAAAAATTGAGATCCTCTGCCTTCTCCCAGTGCTCCCAATGCTAACTGCAGAAATGCACCATTAAATCAGAAACAATTAATCAAATCCAGGATGAGGGTCTTACCGCTGCCAGTCATTCTTATGTACATGCTGCTCATACCCTCCCCCTTCCTGTCTTCTTTGCTACAGCTTCTCCT